TTTGCGCCGCTGCCTCTGATATAGAGGCAGCAGCATGGAGTGACAGAGGGCTCCTTGGGAGTGGGACCAGAATACACTGCTGGGCCCACCCCCCAGGAACTATAGACTAGTCAAGTAACCGATAAGAATTCATATGGTTACTGAACTATTCAATTAACCAATATCTAACATCCCTAGAGAAGGAAGGGACTGATGGCAGAAAGTGGTGCACTAAGAGACAATGGAGGACAAGTGAGTAGTGCATAGTTAATGAAGGGCCTGGAAGGAGGGGACAAGAAACTTAAATCTGAGTTAGTGAAATGGAAAACCATTGGAGATACTTAAAGGGTGTGATGTGGTCAGTATGACGTATAAGGGAGATTAGCTGAATTTTGAATGGATTGTCAGGGGAGCTAATGGGAGTGTTAGAATCCAACACGATTTACCTTCAAAAAGACACTGTAATGACCTACAGTATGGCCAGTGGTGTTGGGGAAAGGCTTAAAATCTCTTGATGACAGTTACAGTAAGACTGACCCAATGCATATTACAACCATATTACTTGTCTGAAAATGTGCCCTTACAAAGGATGATAACAGTCTTGAGACTGTTGAGGTCTTAGATGTTCTAAAGTGCAATATGTGCAATATGAGGTGAAATATGTTGTGAGACTTCCATAGGGTGCTTTGTTTTTTAACTACTTTTTTTAGGGTAATAATAAAAATACCGAAAAACTCTGAAAGGAGTGTTGTGAACAAATGGGTAGTGGACTAAGGAGCATAAAACTCAGAATAACTAGGAAGGGAGGCTCATCCTTATCCCTATTTTTATCAGATTTCTTTTGTTTGTTTCAAGTTCCACCTTTTTCCTTGTTTTCTGCTCTAGACCAGTGGTTCTCAATCTTTCTCTTTTTAAACTCCCCCCCACCTCCAACATTAATTCTAATGTAATCGATTATATATTATTTATAATTGTTGGCCTGGAGTTAGATCTAGATTACTGCTGGAATGATTTTATTCCTAGAGGCTCCCAAGGCACACCATTCAGTGTGTACAGGGCCAGCCAGATGGAGGCCCTGCCATTGCATATTCTTTAGGAGCAAGGAACTGCAGCAAGGGGGTGGACAGGGAATACCCAACTAAACAACATGACCACTGGGCTTTTGTGGGCACAATCCACTTCTTCAGATTTACTAAGTGTCCATGCAGACCCTGCTGCCACACACTAAAAGTTCCCAAGTGCACTGTGCCCTACTCTGCTTTGAAATGGGAGCAGGGAAAAGTAACAAAGTACCCAATCTGGCCTAGTGTATCACTCAATGACCAAGATTAAAGCTAAGATTTTTGTTATGGACATTTTTAGTAATATTGACAGACAAGTCATGGGCAATAAAGAAAATTCACATAAGCCTGTAACTTGTCACTGACTTCCACAAAAAATAACTGACAAAGTGAGGTGTGACAATCCAAAACTCAGAGCTGCTGCTGCTCATGGCAGCTGAGAACTCCATCCCCCCTTTCTATGGCAGCTGAGAGTTGCAGGGGCTTCCCTGCCACCCACACAGAGGTATGGAGCTTTGGTGCTGGAGACTGGGAGCTCCAGGAGGTCCCCACCCAGTCAGGGCAGCTGGGAACTGCAGCTGCTGCCTGCTACCTATAGCAGCTCAGAGCACTAAGATTGTGTACTGACTGCCATGACTGCACAGAGCTCTGGAAACTGTCTGCAACTGGAACTTCTGGTGGGCCCCTTCCACCCGCAGTGATCACAGCGCCAGGGGCTGCCTGCTACCTGCAATGAATTGGAGCTCCAGGCCCAGCAGCTAGGAGCTGCAGGCTCCCCAACCCCTCCATAGCTTGGAGCTCTGAAACTGGTGACTGAGAGCTACAGGGAACTCAACCATCTGGAGTATCTGAGAGTTCTGGGGGCCCTACTAGCTGATAGCTCCAGCCACATGGTCCCAGGGATAAAACAGAAGATGTCACAGAGGTCTCTGGTAGTCACAGACTCACTTCCGTGACCCCTGTGCTATCATAGTCTTACTCATGGAATGGTGCAGGATTTTTACAGGAAGCTCAAAATATCTGTGTTGTGAAATTACTGGCTGGAAATTCAGATTTTCAGCAACTTAAAACTCAGTAAAATCTAAATGTATTGACATGAGGATGGCAACAGGCACCTCCTTGACCCCAGCACCATCCATCTGTGGATTTTCAAATACCAGATGCAAACCATGCAGAGACTAATGCTATGGCTATACTACAAGCCTCTTGCAGAAGAGGAAATGCAAATAGAGTGCTTATTTGCATATGTCGTGCTCTCATTTGCATTTCCTCTTCCTTTCCCTTTTGCACAAGACGTTTTTGCACAAAAAAGCACTGTGTAGATGGCAAAAGGGTTTTTTTTGCGCAAAAAGGCACCGTCTACACAGCGCTCGAAATGTAGCCACTGCCTAAGACTCTTTGGGTATGTCTACGGGTATGTCTACATTAGCCCCCTAGTTCGAACTAGGGTGGCTAATGTAGGCATTCGAAATTGCAAATGAAGCCTGGGATTTAAATATCCCGGGCTTCTAATTCGAACAACCATTATTCCTCCTGCAAGGAGGTTTAACGGTCATTCTAATTAGGATCTTTAATTCGAACTACCGGGTTCTGCCACGTGTAGTTGCGGGCAGTTATTCCAGACTACGGGGCATTTAAAAATGGCCCCACCCGGGAACATGCAAATGAAGCCCAGGATATTTAAATCCTGGGCTTTATTTGCAAGTTCGAATGCCTACATTAGCCACCCTAGTTTGAACTAGGGGGCTAGTGTAGACATACCCTTTAAGTCTTCAAATAAAAATTGAAAGGATCTTTTATAATGGAAAATGTTAGGCAACCTAAGTACAGGGGTTGTTTCCATTTCCCCCTGTAAATCATAGTTAGGTTTCCAAGACTGTACAACAGCAGCATAACAAAGGGAGAGGGAGGATGTAGCCAGCCACATACCTGCTCAAGTTGCTTTGAATACCCTAGAAAGAAAAAAAGGAATTATTTAACATGACACAAATTGTACTCTAGAGATGTATTTAACACTGGCATTTACCATATAATTAGCCTTATGAATAGTTTTAACCTCTTTGACAAAGACAGATTTTTAAAAGTAGGATTTCGAGGTCCTCATGAAAACCTGAACATCTGGATATATGAACCAGTCATTAGTGAAGTGACACAGCAGTGGTGTGCTGGCTTTTGTAAGATGCCTCACAGAAAAGGAAAAGCAAGGGGATGAGGGAACACAGGCAAGGAAACGACTTCAAAGAACCAGAGAGGAGTTTGTGTGTGACATTACAAGTCAGGCTGCTGTCGAACAGAAAGAATTGCAGGGATGGAGAGACGGTGAGAGGGGGGAGTGGAAAGAGAACACAAAGTGGCTCCTAAACATTATGGAGCATCAAGTGGACCCACTCCAAGTGCTGCTAGCACTACATGGAGTAGCTGTGTAACTGTCCCCACCCTGCAGCCGGTTTCCCAAAACTGATATCCACACACATACACACCCCAGTCACCAACATAATTTGACCACTACCATGTCCCTGGAGGGCACCCATCTCAGTCCACACTTCACTACTCAACCTCCATGCATGTAGATTTCCACAGGCACCCAATGCAATCAACATCCATCTGCATGCGATTTAGCTTTGATAAGCTGCAGCCTCCCCTTGCATAGCACATCAGATAGCAGGACTGCATATGAAATCTGGACATACATAAATCTGTGATACTCTAAGGGCCCACCTCACCTCCTGCCTTTTCCCCCACCTCTCCTCTCCTTTTCTCCCTGTATGGCAGCAAGTGCAAATGTTTCATGCGTCATGTGTGTTCTAAGTTTCTGGTTTTTAATAAATGCATGTATTTCAAAGCAATCTTTAGTCCATGACATGAAAACAAGCAAGAATACCCTAACAAAGCAACAGTCACTGTAGCACTAAGTCCATTACACAGACTAATCAGAGTAACCTCCTAGCAATGCAGCCACTGCACTCCCGTGCATGGCAAGAAGTAATCACCTGCCTCCTTATGTTTACAAACAAACTCTATGCCCCAAAGGCAAAGCTGCAAGCAGCTCAAACTGTTGCAGTTAAAAACTGCCTCTGGAGCTAATGCATATGCTTAAGCAGACCACAAGTATGAAATCCAGGGTCTTAAACTTTAGGGGGGAGCTACTGACCTATACTACTGTGGCTGGGGGAGGGGTTCAGGCTCTAAAGTGGAGATGGAGTTGAGAGGCTCAAGGTCTGAACAGAGGACTGGGGAGCAAGGGCTATGACTGAGGATGCAGGGTCTGGGCTGGGAGTCAGGATGTAGAAGGGGGTACGGGCTCTGGGCTGGGTGTGTGTGCTTCGGGGTGGGGCTGAGGAACTCTGTGCTGGAACCAGTGAGGAGGAGCTTAGGGAGAACTATGACTTATTAGAATGTAACTTGGGGGAAAGGAAGCCCAGAGCCAGGATCTCCCTCTGTGCCCCCTGCAATCTGAAAGCCTCTTCTAGCTGCCTTTCCCAGTCATACCCCAGACTCCTCCTCCAGCTTTTGTCCTGCTTCTGGAGCAAAAGATGTCACCTGGTCACATCCTCCTTTGTGTACATGTAGGCAGCTGGGAAGCCACACTCTGTGGAAGTATCACCCCCAATTCCCATAACCATCTAGGCCAGCGATGGGCAACCCAGGCTAGTGAGTGAGAAACATGAGTGGCCTCCTTCAGCTCAGTGGCCACAAGATTGTCATAACCAGGATGCCCTCTTGGGATGGGGTAGTTTTGCTAACTGCGCTTGCGTACTTAGAATTTGTGGGGGTGTGCCAATTGAACCGTACCAGCACTATACCTGGATGCAGAAGGAGTGCACGGCTCTCACAATGTTGTGTGCAATCAGCATGCACCTCACTTCATGTGCATGTCACTTTAGTAATCCTGGCAGGAAAGAAAACTACCTATATGGAAACCAGAAGAATCTGGCAACATGGAACATTGGCAACAGTAAACAAAATATCCCATGGAACCCTGAAGGGCCTCACATTGCCCACCTCTGATCTAGGCATTGGTGCAGTATCTAGGGGAAATGAGGTAGTTCTCATAGTCTATATGGAAAATTTCTTAGACCTCGGACTCACTGCCACTTTTTATTTCTGTCACATTGCAGTGAGCAGGGGTTGCCATCCACAGACCCAGAGGGGGGAAAACCCATCTCTGAGCCCTGGTAGGTTGAGCCTCACCCCGCTCCTTTACCTGCCTGGAAGTCAGAGGGCAGGACTAGTTGTATACAAGTCCAGGCCAGGAGCTCAGTCAGGTCCCAGCTGCAGGAGGAAGCAGAGTCCTGCCCTAAGCTGCCAAGCTGAGGACCTGGCAGATGCTGAGGACTGGTCTGGAACACCGGGCCCTCAACCCATCAAGGAAACCTTGCTGACCTTATCTGAGACCCCATCGACTTGCTTCAGAGCCAGATATACCCCAAGGGGGAGTCCAGTAGTGGACCATGGGCAGCCAATGACAGTCAGACTGATTTACTTATGTTATAGTGAGTCAGTGTGTTGCAGGCCGGATCCCTGCTGACCCAGTGGCAGCTAGCCCTGCCACTGCCAGGGTCATGGGCCTGGATACAGTGGAGTAGGGAGGGCTCACATACCCCCTGACAGCCCAATCCCTGCGTGGCAGCCTTCCCCCTTTGCAAAGACAAACAGTGTTTGCCCCATCCTGCACTAGGGCCTGAGCTCACCTAGAGACTCCTGACAGTCTGACCTGTCCTGTCCTAGGGCCTGGGCTTAATAACTGCAACTGCCTGTATTTGTGTGTCAGCCCTGCCTTGCCCCAGGGCTTGGGCCTAGCCCACAGACGAAGTCTGTTTGCCTGCCCTGCCCTGTACTAAGGTCCTGAATGTAAAGAGGACCACGGGATGTTTGTTTTATGTGCCTGACCCTGCCCAGGGACTGGGTTTACATAGACTGGAAACAGGGTGGGTGCTGGCCCCAGCATAGGCCTGAGCCCCAGGACTGAGCTGGTTGGCTTGCATCAAGCAAGACTGGATCCTAACACACGTAACAACCTGAATTGAAAGATTCCAGTGCAAACCAAAATGATTGAGCAAACATTGAATTTCAACTGGGACACTGAAAAGAAAATCTTTCCAAAATTCAATTCCAGTTAAACTGTATTGTAAACTGGAATCCTGTAATCATGTGGCAGAATTTAAAAGCTTCCACTCTCTTTTCCCTTACAAGCATTTGGGTATTTATAGCATTCTCACCTTTAGAAATTCAGTCACTGGCTGCTGACACTTCTGCTCTATGTTAGAGATCACATTTTCAAGAGGTAACATTTTCTCCATAAAGCCAGCAAACCATTCATACTTCAGCTTTAAAATGGTCTGGTCTATTTCATCCAGTCTTTCCATCAAACACTGTTCTTCATACTTCAGAATCCGATGTTGTTGCCCAAAATAAGAAGTGATTTCTTTCCTCTCAGTTGCAGTCTGGGTCTGTAATGAACAGACATGTGCAAAGATAAAGGCGATGACAATAACACCCACCCACCCACACACACTTTCCCAAAGGCAACTGCATTTCAGTGGTGGATGATCAGCTCTGTATTTTCAGAGACTAGTTATCAGAAATCGTAAGTCATTGTCTTAGCTAAAGTTATTGGTGAAGGCATAGGATTTAGAATAGGATCCCGATGCAACCTTCATTATGGAGCCAAAACCTTATTTTTCAATTGATAAAATCCATAAAATTCATGCACCATAAACAACCTTGAGAAAAGAGCGGCAGTGAGAAGCAAAGAACATGGTTTGGTAACAGATTGCCCTTAGGGATGAATTTATTAAAGGAGGAACTCCATGTTCTAGTAGAGGGGATAGGAAAGGAGCTAGTAAAATGGAGGTAGGAGAGTAGTTGACCATTAGATAACATTAATCATTATGTATTTCTGACAGGTATGTTGAGGGGCTGTGTTCTGCCCTCCTTTCCTATTTCCTATCAATATTATTTGGCACTGTTGGCCATTTTGAAAATTGCATATCTTCTTTCGGAAGCTGAGGTTGTCTAGAGGGTAGTCTAGAGACGTAGTCTGAGTTCAGGCTATGCCACAATGTCTACAAAGCCATTTTCAATTGTAACACAAGTCCTGAATGTCCAAATCTGTCTGCCTGGGCTGGGAGGCTCATACTCATAGGTGTCAGCCTCCAAATGTTGGACAGGCTTAGAAAAACACCTCTGTCCTTGGTTTTCCCCACTGTCTAATGCAAGGTGGGAAATACAGATTGAAGCTCTCTATTCCATAGCTCTCTGATCTGGCAACATCTATGTTCCAGATTGATGTTAGTGAGCTGGATGTCCACTTATCGTGGCCAAGTTTCCCACGATACCAAAAAGTTTGTTTACAACCTCCAGCCCTGGCTCTCAGGGTTCTGTGTTGTTACTGAGCTCTAACTGACCCCTAATGTGTTCTCAGAGGCCAGCAAGTCGTGGACATGTTGGTAATGCTGCTAGAAAATATTGACCTCCCACGGTCCAGCAAATTTTCTAGTACAGAACCAGTCAGGTCCTAAGGGTGCCAGACTAGAGAGATTCAATCTGTAAGGCTCATAATAAAGTAATACTGATACTACAAAATTCTTTAATTTAAAAATAAAGCCAAAACAAGATGCAATGACTAGGAGTTGAAGTCAGCAAAATGCACACTGTAAATAATACACATTTTTAGCACCAAATGTAATGATAATATATAGTAATTAACCTCCTGGACCCTCAGACAGGAAACAGCCCCAAGCCTCTCAAAGCAGCTTGCTTTTCCATCTGCCTGTCTACACCACACACTGGGATGGGGGTGAAGGGGCAGAGAGGATGGGGAGAAAAGCTTTGCATGCTGCCCCCATCCCCAGCAGAATCTCTCAGCTTTCATTGGCCAGAAATCAGCCAATCAGAGCTAAATGGTTTTGCTAAAGGCAGGGGCAGCACACAAAGCCTCCCTGCTAGCCTATGGTACAGAGAGGCACATGGAGCAGACAGCCACTTTGAGTAATCTGGGGCTGTGGCAGGAAGGTAGCCTCCCTGAGGGGTCTATTGAGCTCCTGGCCAGGAGCCACCTAGGTAAACGCCTCACAGCCACAGCCTGCCTCTAGCATCCCATCCCCTCCTGCACTCTAACTCCCTGCTGGCTGCAGGTCACTACTCAAACCCTCTGCACACACACCTGCCTCAGGTCACAACTCTCTCCCAGACTCTGAACCCCTTTCTAAATCTTCTGTATTGCATTGTGCTCAGTGCACCCCATCCTCGGCTTGCTCTGTACCACCATGAAAAACTCTAGAATCACAGGATTTTCTGTGCTGACAAGGTACCATTTGGGTAGCCAGAAATACAGAGCCAGTGCATAGGACAACAGAGGAGCCCTCCAGCGCTGAAACTGGTAGTCATTCTAAACATGTAATCCTAACCCTAACCCTGTTTTCTGTTTAGGAATAATAGCCTGTAGGATGGTGCTACTTCTGGTAACAATATATTATAGGAGCAGTTCCTGCTACTGGTAGCACAGTCTTACAAGAGAGCAGCTTTCTACAAACTACCTGCCAATGGGAGCACTGGGGGCACAAAGCCAGATACTCATCCCCTCTCATGCTCAGACTCCTGTACTCCAATCCCCCTCACTCACCCTGCCTCCCCTTGCCAAGACCCGCCCCCACCCCCACTCTCAGCTTGCTCCTGCACCCTCTCTTCTGGACAGACACCTATCCCCACCCTGCTCCTGCATCCACTGTTGCGCCTGCACCTTCCCTCCTGGCCACACACTGCATCCCTTCCCCTCCCACTCTTCTCCCTCCTCCATGGCCACACACTCTATTCTCAGCCTGCTTCTGCACCCTACCTCCTACCCAGACCTCACACCCTCATCCCTTCCTGCATGCCATCTCCCATCCAGATCCTGTACTCCCATTCCTATTCCATTCACTGGCAGCCCTGCCCTACACACTGAACCCCTCATTTTTGTCCTTACCCCAGAGCCTAAGGGGGTCCACAAAGTCCACTAACTCTGGAATCCTAGAAAAATAAATCCGGCTTATGGGAAGCCCAAAACCTCAGCCCTTCCTGTTCCTTCCCCTCACCTCATAGGGCTGGAGAGGCAGAGGAGTGAGGTATCTCAACTGGGTTCACATCAGTGAGGTTTGGAATATGGCATTGTTTTTCTAGGATACTTCCAGGATCCTGGAAAAGCACTGCAGTCTAGGTGTAGCCAGAGAAAGTAATGTGTACCACTATTTCAGACAGCTGCCAAGGGCAGCACTCCTTAGTGTTCTTAAGGTTCAGTGATCCCAGCACGTAATCTGGAATATTTCATTTCCTCTGATATCACATTGCAAGCAAATTTAAATCTATAACAAAATCAAAGCCCTCTCTGTTTTGAGATGTACAAAATGTTAGCTGCATCCTGAGGTTATTTTGTATTGATAAGTGCACATTCTCAGCTAAGATTTTTTAACCGCAATCTCAATAATATGGATTTGCATGGAAACCTTTCTGCAGACCTGTCTTTAGAGGTGAAAATTTATTTTGCAACCATAAGTCCTTGAAAAGTCTACCCATAGAGTCATCAAAGTCTTTGGGATCCTTCAGAATGAAAAATACTAGAGACTTAACTCATGATTATCAGTAATTAAGATGGGCACTTACCAGCAAAGTGTCTATTTTCTTGTCTTCATTTGCTTTCAGTGTCAGCATTCTTTCTTTCTCTTTTTTAAAATAATTCAGTCTGAGATTAATCTCTTGCTGCAAATAAGGCATTTAAATGTCAGTGTTTGGTTCCTGTGGTTGGTTTTTATACAAACCACACTTTATTATAACTTTATTATAAAGACTAAGCCCCAGTTCTACCTGTCTAACTGCATAGCTGGACTCCTGCACTTTCACAGTACCTTCTGAAAGTTATAGGGGCTCTGAGCAAAGGTAAGAGTTCACCCATGTCATGTGGATCTACTTTCTGAATCAGGGCCTTAGATACTAACTCAGGAGAACAACTGGACATGTGCTTGTTCGTTTCTAATTAGCAAAACTTTGTGTGTGTGGCTTGGGATTGTCCATTTCCTCCTACCCTCTGTCTGTCTTTCCTCTTTAGTTCTGTAAGTTCTTTGAAGCAGGGACCATCTGCTAGGTTTGTTTGTACAGCACCTAGAAAAATGAGGTTCTGATGCAGGCATTTAGGCACTGCTATAATATAGGTAATAAATACTATTAGTATTCTAAAGACCTATTACACAGGTAATTAAATAATTCCCACCAAAATGCAGAGCACTGACAAACCCTTAAAAGTGACAGGTCTAAGGATGAAGCTATTTCCAAAGAAAACAGGTTAAGGAACTGACTGAGTATAGGGGAAGCCAACTCTGAGAAATCAATATGTGACCTTAGCTCTAATTGCTCTTATTGGAAACCAAATGACCGTCAGATTTCTTACCTTATAAGCCTTTGCAGCATCCTCTATAGGAAGCACATAGTGTCTTCTGTGCTTGTGGGACATATGACAGTCCACACAAGTGAGTTCTTTGTCATCTTCACAGAACAGCGTCCAGGGTTTCTTGTGCTTCTCACACATTTTCTTTCCCTCTGACTGTTTCACAGCCAGAGCTGGGACTTGCTTGGCTTTCTTGTGTGTCTCATGCAGTTTCTCTCCCTCTAATCCTTTCACAGCTGGAGCCAGGACTTGCTTGGCTATTTCTTCCAGCTGGGAGTTAGGTCTCATATTTCTCTTCCGAAACCTTTTCCTGCATTGAGGGCAGGGGAAGTTTCTCTTCAATCCCTCCCAGCGCTGGGTGATGCAGGAGCGGCAGAAATTGTGCCCACAGTCCAGGGTCACTGGATCTTTAAAAACATCCTGGCAGACACAGCAATTCACGGAGTCCTGGAGGCTTTTCAGAAGGTCGTTGGTGGCAGCAGCAGAGACCATGGCTCCTGCGGGAGAGAGATCACCAGATAGTTTCACTTCTGTTTTCTCAGAAATGTGCTGCGGAAGTGAAAAGGGGGAAGGCAGCACCCTTCAAATGCAGGCCTAGGTCTCTTTGAACAGCCAGTTCTTTCTTGATTATTGTGCTTGTGCTTGGTATTTCTTTAGGAGAGAAGAATATGTGTGTGATGGATGTGGAGAATGCAGTTGTTAACTTAGAATTGTGCGCTGTTGCAGTGAGAGCTTGTCACAGGATAAGAGTTGCTGAGTGAATTGTATCGTGGGCTATGTTGCCAGAGAGAGATCAAAACAACGCATGCCTTAAGTGCACAGAGATAGAGCAGGGTCTTGAGAGCAGGACAGTATTGTGCATACATCCAGCACTGCTTGAGAGGAAGCTTAGCTGGGGTAAAGAGACTGTACTTGTGACTGCAATATCCTCTAGACAGGGATGACTGGTACCTGTAGCGGGAGGAAAAGGGTGTTGCAGGGAGAGCCACTGGAAGCAACTAAAATTTTGCCAGAGGCATGGGAGGGGGCGGTGCACCTGAGTCAACTGTGCCCTCAGCACAGCTGTAGGTGTTGGACTGTCCTGGTGCTCCAGATTGGAGACTTTTCCAGCAGTGCTCAGAGTTGGACCATGCACATATCATAGCTGTATCATGGCATTTGTGCCTTAATGTATCATGCACACAACCCAAGCTGACTCTGTCTTTACTAATCGCTGCAGATGGAGCACCACAGCACTCAAAGACAAAAAATAGAGTTTTAAGTTTGTTTGGTCATTAAAAAGCCCTTACACTGTTGCTGTTTAACCAGCACCTAGTTTTTCTATTTAAAAAAAACTAACACCTTTCCCTTAGTTCTAATTTCTTCTCCTCCCACCAAATAGTGAATAGTATAGTTGTTGTTGTACACCTACCTTGTTTTGGGGGGGCATTCAACCAATTCACACCAAAAAAGTGTGATAAAGAAGGTGGAGAACAAGAAATTGTGACTTGTGATAGGAAGTAGGTTAGCATGCCTACAGCCAGGGACTCTCATGTAAAGAGACTATCCCCAGCAAAATTGGTACCTGCAGTGCCTATTTCTTCAAAACACAGCAAAGGGGGCATCCCTGGCACTGCCAGCACTGAATTGGAGTTGAGAAACTCAGTCTCCTCCATGGCACTGATGTTCATGTTTTATATCAACAGACAGGGCAATACCTGATCTCATTTCCTGTATACAGAAGTTTCCCACCCCTGGAACTGGTGAATCTGCCATAATTCAATTGTTACAACATTCTATTTACCAGAAATACAGAACATCAGTGCAGAAACATTAAACTGTAGTTTCTTGGATGACTACAAGTGGGAAACACACTGCAACATCCTAACCATCATTTTCTGCGGCTAGATTTTCTCAGCGGGTAGTTAACAGCTCAATGTCTGGTTGTCAGTTTGGTTTCTAGCAGAGTGCCTCAAGGATTGGTTCTAGGGCAGGTTTTAGTCAACACCTTTATTAATTACCTGGATGAGGGGATGGATTGCACCCTCAGCAAGTTTGCAGATGACACTAAGCTAGAGGGAGAGGTAGATACCTTGGAGGGCAGGAAGAGGTCCGCAGTGACCTAGACGAACTGGAAGACTGGGCCAAAAGAAATCAGATGAGGTTCAACAAGGACAAGTGCAGAGTCCTGAACTTGGGATGGAAGAATCCCAAGTACTGTTACCGTCTGGGGACTGACTGGCTAAGTAGCAGTTTGGCAAAAAAGGACCTGGGGATTACAGTGGATGAGAAGCTGGATATGAGCCAACAGGGCGCCCTTGTAGCCAAGAAGGCGAATGATAAATTAGGTGCATTAGGAGGAGCATTGCCAGCAGATCTAGAGAAGTGATTATTCACCTTTATTCATACTCAACTGGAGTATTGTGTCCAGTTCTGGGCCCCACTCTACAGAAATGATGTGGACGCATTGTGGCAGGAAACCAAAATGATTAGGGGGCTTGACTATCCTGATGCCACAGTGTAGGTGTAAGGCATTTGCAGAGTTCCAGGAAGATGGACTTACATATGCAGAAATTTTGCAGCCACTGCTGATCATCTCATCCCTGCATGAGGATGTGATCCCAGAATCTGAGCTCATCTCCTGATGCCAGAAGCAGTGTATACAGGGGATTGAGTGGTGGGTACAGCAGCATGAGTGTCTGGACTTGCCTGAGCAGGACCTCGGGGGCATGCCGAGGTTTGTCTTCCTCTTCCTGCTCCTCGTCCTGTTTCTGGTGGAGCAACGTGTGGAAACTCTCGAAGTGCTGTGCCCACAAGACACCAGGAGCATGGCAATACTTGTAGCTCCTCAGGCTTCGTGATCATCATGCTATGATGTCATATGGGCAACCAGGGCACTGTGGCCCTTTTATGTCTCACAAGGGGTGAGGGAGTAGAAGAGTGCTTTCTGGGACACAGCTGAAAAGAGCCCCTGTAAAAGAGCACCTGCTGTCAATTACTGGACCAGTTACTGGACCCAGTGGACATAGGCTCATCCCCCTCTGGAGATCAATGGAGGCTGAGGTAATGGGACTCAGGCCCTCCCTCTCCACTGGGCCCCAGCCCAGGGCTCTGTCAGTGGTAGGCATATCCCACCA